AAGGTGAGTTGTCTTCTCATTTTGGGAGTAGCTGAGGTTTCTTATTTTTGTTGTTTTTTGTGTAAGTCTTTGGGCAGAGCTGCAAGGTATACAAGCCTTGGCTCTGTCCATTAATCAATGAAATCTTCGTTTCTCCACTTCTGTACCCCAAACTCTGTCTTTTCTTTTACTGCTTTTTCCTTAAACTTTTGGACTTGCTTTTGTAAATTCGAACTCCTATATGCATAATTTGAACTCGCACCTCTAACTCGTAAGCTTAAAGGATTGAGTTTGGGAGGAACTCTTTTCACATCGCCCCTTTTACTTGTGTTTGTTTTTTAAGGTTTGAATTTGAGAGTTTCCTTTTCTGGTCTTTAATATTTCTCTTCGAACTCGGAAGTCCAAAAGATTGAACTTTTAACATCGCACCTTTAACTTGAACGTTCAAAGGGTTAAATTTTGAGTCCATAATTAATATTCACGTCGCACCTCGAACCCGTGGGTTTAGAGGTTCGAATTTCTTGAACCTTCCACATCGCACCTTTTAACTAAAGCGTTCAAAGGATTGAATTTTCGTTCGCAATTGATTTTTACATCGCACCTCGAACCCGTGGGTTTTGAAGATTGAATTTGATCAATTTTTACACTTACCTTGCCGGTTTATAAGTCATGGGAGTCCGTGGCCGCCATTTAATTTCTGATCGAACCTATAGTCATGAAATTAAATAACTCCGTTTATTAAAAGTAACGCCCCTTGAAAATTTTACAAGTCCATTTTGGGACCATTTTGACATTTCAAGGATAATAGCGCTTTAAGTGCTCTGCGTTCCACGGATGCGCAAGCACGTTTCCTTCCAGATCGGCCAGCATGCACGTTCCAGGTCGGACTATGCCTTTAACCTCGAACGGTCTTTCCCAACTTGGGTCAAGGGTGCCCACATGACTCTGAATCTTGCTTAAGACCAAATGCCCAATTTGAAAGCTTCGAGGTCGAACTCGAGCATTGTAATGCCTGGAAATTCTATTTTGATACTCAGTTAATCGTAGCTGAGCCATTTCCCTTTTTTCTTCTAATAAATCAAGGTTAAGGAGTAGCTCTTCCTCGTTCCTTGTTGGCTCGTACTGCTCTACCCTATCTGTTGGCATGCCGATCTCTACTGGGACAACAGCTTCAGAGCCAAAAGCCAGTGAGAACGGAGTTTTGCCAGTCGACTCCCTAGGGGTGGTCCGATATGACCACAATACTTCGGGTAGCTCCTCGGCCCATCTTCCCTTTTTGGAGTCCATCTCAGCTTGAGTCCTCGTTTTATAATTTTGTTAATCGCCTCAACCTGCCCATTTGCTTTCGGATGCGCAGGTGACGAACTGAGATGACTTATGCCCAACTTCTTGCAGAAGTCCTTGAACTTTGCATTGTCGAATTGTTTTCCGTTGTCTGTCACAATAGCGTTTTACAATGTTTGTCCATATGAAAGATGTGACTCCAGACTCCGTGATGTGAGAGAGCGCCTCGGCTTCGGCCCACTTGGTGAAGTAATCCACAGAGACAACGGCGAACTTGGTTTGCCCTTTGCCAAGAAGAAAGGGACCTATGATATCAACTCCCCATTGTGCGAATGGCCACGGGGCCGAGATGGGGGTGAGCAGCTCTGGAGGCTGATGGATAATGTTTGCAAAGCGCTGGCAGTTATCGCAGGCTTTCACAAACTGCTTGGCATCCTGATCAACGGTGGGCCAGTAATAGCCTTGTCGGACCACCTTGGCCGATAACGACCTGGCTCCTGAATGGTTGCCGCATACTCCTTCGTGGATTTCTCTGATGATGTAATTCCCATCTTCTGGAGTTACACACTTAAGGAGAGGCCGGGAAAATCCTCGTCGATACAACGCTCCATCTCGGAGTATGAACCGAGCTGCTTTTCGCGCCATCTTCTTTTATTCCTTTGAATCTTGCGGCGGGTTTCCTTTGATAAACTCAACGATTGGATCCATCCACGAGGGTGCTGGAGTGTCAACCTCCATCACATCTGGCTCCAAGATTGAAGGATTGTCCAAGATCTCAACCGGGACCGATCTGGCCAGGTCGGTCTCATATGCTGATGCCAATTTGGCTAAGGCATCTGCATTGGAATTTTCTGATCTTGGAACTTGATTTACCTCGTAAGTCTTGAACTAGGCGAGGTGCGATCTGACTTTACTTAAATATTTTTCCATCCGGGGGTCTTTTGTTTAATACTCCTCCTTAATCTGATTTACGACCAACTGGGAGTCACTAAAGACCTTGATATTGATGGCCCCCAGTCCTTTGGCAACGCGTAGACCTGCCAAAAGTGCTTCGTACTCGGCCTCATTGTTTGAAGTCTGAAAGTTGAACTGCAGGGCATACTCGAACCGCATGCCACTCGGTGCGAGCAAGAGGATTCCTGCTCCACACCCTCTCTCATTGGAAGATCCGTCAATGTAGATGCAAAGGTTTATGCAAAGGTTTGCACAACGCTGTTTTACGAACCAAGCTCGAACCCGGTCCCAGGATCGACCTGAACCCAAGAGTGAACCTGCACAAGAGGGTAAACTCTCTGACGCTCAAGTAAGTGTAGGTCGGGCACAATATAAGGTTCGAGATGAGATTCGATACCTGAGCGTAAAATGAGGCCCTCTATTTATAGGTGGTGGATCCGACAGTACTCACTACCGGCGGTTACATATCTTTTTCTCATGTCTGACCTGTCGGGTTCCGAGCAGATCGAACCCCAATCAGGTCGAACTTCGGCATGTATACTTAGCCTTTTTCTAATGGGCGAACCCGACCTCCTTGGCAGGTTCGAGGTGGACCTGGGATAATTTCTTGAACACCAATAAGCGTCCTCCACGAGGACTTAAAAAACATGTTTACTATTCAAATCCCCCAAAATTTCGTACTTTATTTCTTTCATTTTTTTACAACATATGGGGGTGAGAGATCGAACTCACAACATCTCGATTGGAGATATATGCCAATTACCGCTGAGTTATGTTCGCTTTGGCTATCTCTTATCTCTTTCTTCAAGTTGGCTCTACACCTTTCATATCTATTTTCTTGACTCATTCTCCACTCATTTTTCTCTCTATCCATCTATTTTTTACTACTTTTCAATTTTCATTACTTTTCTATCTCTTATTTTTATTATGGATTATTTATCATTTTTTATTTAGTTGTTTCAATTTTTCTTTACAAATGAATTGCTTCGATTTCAACTTTTCCTACACTCCCAATTATAAATTTCGAAATTTTTTCTATTATGATATGAAAGTTTTTAGAATTTATAGATATATACAATTGTTTTTTATAATTACGAATATTTATAATTTTTTAATTAAAAAAATATATTTATATGAATTATAATTCAATTTTATCTCCCTATAGTTATGTCTTGATATAAAATGAATTTTGAAAATGGTAAATTTAAATAATTAAATTTCTTTTATAAATTTGAACTATTCAATTCAGTTAATCAAATAGTTAAATTTAATCTTAATTTAGGGATGAAAAAGTTATGTTCTTTTAATTATTGTCATCTTTTATCCATATTTAAATAATTGGTAGTTACAAAAATTATATAATTTTCAAAGTTTGATTTTAAAATAGGAATACTAGTTTATTTTCCATTCATATTATATATAATATTAAGCTAACAAATATTAAAGTAAAATAATATACTTAATTTAAAAATTAGTAATATTCAAAGTAGCAAAAATATAAATGGCAATAATTATTTAAATAAAAGTAGCAAAATAAATGATATTTAATTTAAATTAATTATATTAAATAAAGTGTTTAATTTTTAAATTAGTTAGAATAATTTTTTTAATTATATATATATATATATATATATATATATATATAACAAAAAAAATTACTTTTTTGATTTATTTGTGTTTTTTTAAATATTAAATAAAAGTGTGGTGTTTTTCCTTTGAAATATTAAAAAAAAATTATATATATATAACCTTAATAATTGATGAATTATAAATATATATAAAAGTGTTGCGTTTTTCTTTTGAATTATATATGTATGTATATGTATGTATGTATGTATATAACAAAAAAAATTTACTTTTTTTGATTTATTTATGTTTTTTTAAATATTAAATAAAAGTGTTGCATTTTCCTTTGAAATATTAAAAAAAATTATCTTATCAAAAATCTCAATTTGAAAAAATCATTGAATCTAACTATAATGTACAATTGTAACAAAAAAATCTGTTTACATGACTCCAGACTTCATAAACCCTTATCACAAATACAGATATCAAAACTCCAAGTTTAATAATTCTGCGCTCAAACACGGACTAAACAACTACAAATTAATTAACTCTTCAAATTTCTCCTTATGTTAAACAACTCCAGATTCAAGAAGTTGAGACTCAACAGCTCATTGCCCTAAACACTCTTTTATGTTTTTTTGATTCCGTGTTTGACATTTGCCGTATGTTCAAATTCATGATCTCCCCTTTAACTATTTTTACCCTCTAGATTCAAGAAGTTCAGACTTTAAAACTCTTTGCCCCAAACACGTTTTTTATGTTTCTTTAACTCTGCGTTTGACATTTGCCGTATGTTCATGATCTCCCCTTTAACTATTTTAACTCTACGTATTCAAGAAGTTCAGACTTAACAACTCTTTGCATTTCTTTTACTCTGTATTTGACATTTGTCATATTACCAAATTCAGCATCTTTGCATTTCTTTTACTCTGTATTTGACATTTGTCATATTACCAAATTCAGCATCTTCTCTGTAACTATTTTTACGTAGATAAATGAGGTGGGAATTTGAATTGGTGACCTTAGTTTAGAGCTAAGGTGATGTTGGTATTTTTACCCAAGTTTTCTACAATGCAGTAATAAAATGAAAAGAGGAAAAAAAAAACAAACAAAACAAAAATCAGAAACTACATGACGAGAAATAAAATAATAATGATGTCAACCGGACGCCGGAGGATAGCCGAATTCCGTCCGTGATGGCAGCGAAAAATCCCCGCCGGCGCCGCCGCCCTGATTCTGATTCCCTGGTGGCCGTAAATATCTGAGCTGCGGCGGAGGAAAATTCGGAACACCAGAAGGACCAATCAGCGAATTAGACTGAGGCACGAACGTGGATTGAAATGAGGCCAATGGCGAATTATAGAGTATTTCGCCGGAGTTCTGAACCAACTGAGAATATTGAAGATAGTTGCCAAGGGAATCTTGGGAGGGGAACGACGGCGGCTGCGGAGGCGGCGGCGCCGGAGAAGGTGGGAGGGCGGTGACGAATTCCGGGAAGTTGAGCTTGGCTTTGCTTCCGCGGAATCTCAAGGCGGCGGCGTCGTAGGCTCTTGCCGCCGCCTCCGCCGTGTCGAAGGTGCCGAGCCAGACTCTGGCCGCCTTCTGTGGGTCCCGAATCTCCGCCGCCCATTTCCCCCACGGCCTCTGCCTCACTCCTCTGTATCTTCTTCGTCTTTCTTCGCCGGAAATTGCTTCCGTTGCTGCGACCGCCGTCACCGCCGCCGCGCTGGCGATAATGTTGCTGCTGCTCGAAGCTTCCTCTTTTATTACTGTCCAAAAAATTGGAATGTTTCTTTTAGCAACAGAAAATTTGTCCCCTTTTTGTCAATTTAATTTAATGAAAACAAAGAGGAAAAACAATGTGCGGCCACTGTTCCATCCCCTTCCAATTTTGGTCGGAAGAAACAGTGTTAGAATTATGAATTTGTTGGTTTAGAACTTTAGAATAGTTTCAATTACGTTCTTTTAATTCTAAAATATTCAGTTTTGTCTTTTACAATTTTTAACTTAGTTTCAATTTTGTTTTTTAAAACTAAGATTCTTATATTAAAATTTTTAACTTAATCTAATTTATTTAAATTTCACATGCTATAAGGACACTTTTTCTATTTATGTATAAATGAATTAATGATAGATCCCACAAAAATATAAAATTGAGTAAAAAGTGAAAAAAAAAATAGATATTTGAGTGATTGAAAAGTAATTTACTGACCATATTTATATTTAAAATTTAACCGAGATGAAATTGAAGTCCTAGAAGTTCAAAAACTAAACTAAAATTAAGTCTAAATTTACATCATGGCTATTTATTTTTTTAATTTTTTGTTTTTAAAATTAAACTAAAGATATAGTTTTCAAATAAACTAAGAATCAAAGTTCTGCGCATGGAGCTTTGAGAATGAAAGAGAATATCGAATAAACCATGAAAAAATAATTATAATTTTTAGAAAAAATATTTAGGTCATATTTAATGAGAACCAATTTTACATTTATTATACTTACATATGAAAAATACTTTGTTTGGGGATTAATTCTTGTCCTGACTACGGTTAAAAAATTAAGATTCGGTGACTTTTTTAAAAATTCCTATTTTTTACATTTTTCTTGTTAAACAAAATTTTGTTTTTAAATAGGTCTCCAGGCGTAGAACCTTAATATTTTCTATTTTTTGAATAGATAAAATTAAAAACGAAATGGTTTTGAGTGAAAATTTGAAAATAACAGCATAAACGCAAGGTATAGAAGGAAATAGATAATGAGAAATTAGAAACTAACAAATTGGGGGAGATGGCGGTGGATGAGGCTGTAATTGTATTGCTCTGAAATCCACAATCCCACCTCGATAGCCCCTTCCAATGCCGCTTCCAGTTTCTTCTTCTCGTTCTCTTTTCTTCACTCCCGACGTTACCGGAGGCGGCGGAGCGCCGCCTCTATCGCCGGAAATGACATGTGTCAGAGCCGACACCATCGCCAGTAACTCCCCGGACTGGCTGTACCCCACCGAGAACATCGCCTCCGGCACTTCTCCGCCGGTTTGGTCCGCCGTGTAGGGTTGATACCCACCGGCGCCGCCGCCCTGGTTCGCCACCTTCAGATAGCACATCAAAGCCGGACCACAAAAGACAAAGCCAAGATCTCAGATTGGTTTGGAAAAATTGTGAGTTGTGCGTGTTGTATTTATCATGAAATTTGGAGCACGTGCGTATTGCAGCCTTTTAAATAGTGAAAGGGAAGCCTATAAATTTTTAATTTTAATTAAAGAGTTTGATGAAAAAGGCCAAAGCCGACTATTCTTGAAGTGGAGCTTGGTTTCACACCTTTGGGTATTTTTCTCAAAAAGATAAGGTTTCAATTCAATTCATGGGGATTAAACCCATGGAAAACGAATATTATTTTTTTAAAAAAATATTTATTATAGAGAGGGAGAGGTGGTTTTGGGATTGGATTGCCGACTAGAAATATTGCTAGAAAGTAGTCAAACAGGGCCATGAATACTATTTCTATCTTAGCTACCATTTCTCACATGAATGGCATATGTACAAACTCATTGGATAACTGGTTACTAGCTTCTAGTGTGTTTGAGAAAATTGAAAGGTCAAAACAATTCATTTTTATGCTACAATAGCCTTAGGCCGAGAGGATAGTGCCGTGGCGCTATCGCAAGTCTAAAAAAACACACACGCGACTATTTTGCATTAAAAGAAATAAAAACCTATTTTTTCTTTTTGTCTTCGAACATACGACTGCTGACTCATAATTTTTATATAGAGCGAGAGTTTTTCATGAATAGTAGAGAGATTTAATTTCTTTGTGAGACTAGAACGGTTCAATTACTTTCATTAATCAGGAGTTTCAAGAAGCTTTTAGAGTGATTTATTAGCATTTTTCTGTGAGATAAAAGTGCGAGAAATCATTGTAGAGCGATTGTAAACTCTTGAAAAATTCTCCTTAACATTTTAGTGGAACTGGCAATGGTGTAGAGATCTAGACCTATCCCATATTGGGTGAACCAGTATAAATCCAGTGTCAATTTCTCTATCCTTTATATTTATTTATCATTCTTATTGCTTAAGGTTTAGATTGATTTATCTATTCTGTAAGCTTAGTTCCAATTTGATTTAATTCCAATATAATTGGAACCAAGGCCTTGATATGAGATTAGTTAATATATATTGTCTGAAATTTTGATTGAGATAATATAGAGTTGTCTTTTTTATTGATAACAAGTGATATCAAAAAAACGTTGAAGAACACAATGGTTTGCAGGGATGAGACGACAAATTGGTTACTTTCAATGGATCAGATTTTCCATTTTGAAAGTACCACATAGAAGATTATATATACTCAACCGAGTTGGATTTACCATTAGTAGGAAAATATGATGATCTGAAAGTAAAAGAATTAAAGTTTGACCCAATGATATTGGGTATGATTAGCCAAACATTAATGAAGAATGTGCAAAGCAGTGTGGTGAAGGAGACGACCAAAATTGGGCTAATGACTACCTTGGAAAACATGTGTACGAAAAACCCTCGGCAAATAATAAAATGTACGTCACAACTAAATTATTTAATTTGAAAATGATTGAAATGTGCATATGTTACTGCTGTTTCAATTCTTGCGAGAAAGAGAGAAATTGAAATTTTAAAGGTGCTAGAGATGCATCTCTTGGAAAAGAAATTCGTAGAAAGGACTCATGTATTGCTTCTACTTTTGGTTCAACATTGAATGTGGACARATGAAGAAATAATAACAGAAGTTATGGAAATAGGGACTTGTAAAAAAATAGAAACATGCAAAAAATAAAAGCAGATTCAGAGTATGGAATTGTGGTAAGAAGTGACATCTAAAAAAGGAATTACAAGACCCCANTGTAAAAAAATAGAAACATGCAAAAAATAAAAGCAGATTCAGAGTATGGAATTGTGGTAAGAAGTGACATCTAAAAAAGGAATTACAAGACCCCAATGAAAACTTAGGGGGATGCAAGACGGTGCAAATGTTGTTGCTGAGTGATACATGATGTTATATGGTTCTTGCAGTTGAGAGCGCTCATGATATGTTAGTGATAGATTTGATGGGATTGAATCCCCAGCGGAAGCGATTTATCGCTTTGTTCGATTTTCCTTTTGCAATTTAAAACACAGAAAAAAGGAAAAAGA